GTTTATGTCCTTGTTGTTGATTTTTATGCTCCCATGCTGAGGTTATCAGATTACTACCAGCCAGTATATTCACTGGATAAACTTATGGAACAGAGGTCCATCAGTGGCTATTAGCCACAAGGTATAGGTAGGAACTCTCAGTCTGGGGCAAGTGATGCTCTGTATTCTTGGTGCTTGGGGGGGCAACAGTGGGAGGGCTTCTAGTGTCCTGGCCCCACTGCTGGACCTCGTGATGGCACCTGGTATTTTTGGCCACTGTGTGATACAGAGTGTTGGACTGGATGGGCCACTGGCCTGATCCAACATTGGCGTCTCTTATGTATTTATTATTGGCTATTATCCCCAGTGTGATCTCTTGACCTAGTTAATGTGTTATTTTGATTTTTGTATCCTGTTGATGCAAATTTGTTTTCTCTTTATATCGTTTGTAATTTTATAATATATAATTTTTTTTAATTTTTTAAAAATAGGAGGCTAGACTGCATGGACCTTTGGTCAGAACCAGCCGTGCATTTGAGAAGGCAGGTGCAAATGCATCTTTCCTCACCTGCTTCTGCCTCTATCTTGATCAGCACTTCAAAAGCGAAGAATTCTGAAATGGCAGAATAAGACCCCAAACTCTACAGGAATGGCTGTTTCCCACAGTCAAAGAGGCATGGTACAACTCTACTGTAACTGCTCTGCAATAACAGACATCACGCATCGTTCTTCGGTGGTAACACATAAGGGGGGGAAATTTCTCTGAATGTACACTTTGCCTAGCTTCAATCCTGTTGAGTGATATTTGTTGCTGCTAGACTAATTCCAGATGCAAACACCTACTTTCCTCATCTTTCTGCTGGAGGAAGAAATTGTCCCCTGCGTTACTGGGAAAGGCATGCATCCAGCGCCCCCTAGTGTGTTCATATGTCTATACCAACTAGATTATGACTGTAGGAACTACATCACTTAGGATCAATGGTTTATTCAAATTAGAGATGATCAAATTAACTAGTGCCTACAGGAAATTAAATGCTTTCTACCTTCCAGTGAGGAAGTTAATGCATATATCTATGCATGTGGGGACGCAAAGAGACAGTCTTCCACATAATTCACATTGTGCATGTCTGTGCCCACAACTTTCCCCCCTTTTTCAGCGGAGGAGGAAGAGGAGGAGGAGGAGATTGGATTCATATCCCGCCCTTCACTTGGAGTCTCAGAGTGGCTTACAAACTCCTTTCTCTTCCCCTCCCCACAACAGACAACCTGTGAGGTAGGTGGGGCTGAGAGAGCTCTTCTCAGAATTGTCTTTGAGAGACCAGCTCTGACAGAACTATGGCTTGCCCAAGGCCAACCAGCAGCTGCAAGTGGAGGAGTGGGGAATCAAACCCAGCTCTCCCAGATTAGAGTCCGCGCACTTAACCACTATACCAAACTGGCACTGCATTAGGGTATCATTTTAATTTTCTGTCCATGACCTCGCAAAAAAAGTTCCTTGCTTTTTACAATTCTTGGCACCCTGCCTGGTCATTTCTTGCTCAATGAAATCCTGAGCCAAGGACTGGCTGTTCTTTGCCTCCCTAGAACACTGAGAACATGGGCTGCATTTTGTTGTTCCAGACAAAAGCACTTTCACTAAGGTCGTGTTGAAAAGACTGACCTGGGTTCAGCGGCCACCTAACTGTCAGCCCAATTACACATATGTTCAGTTCTGGTAATGCTGTGGTGTGTGACAATCAGCATATAACTAAACAATATCAGAAACATAATGCTCGTAAGAGCCACTGTGGTGTAATGGCTAGGTTGTTGGACTAGGATCGGACAACCCAGGTTCGAATCCCCGCTCTGCATGAAAGTCCACTGGATGAACTTGGGGCCAGTCACACACTCTCAGCCTAACCTACCTCACAGGGTTGTTGTGAGGATAAAATGGAGGAGATGAATGTAAGTTGCCCCATTGGGGAGAAAGATGGGGTACAGATGAAGTTAATAAATAAATAAGAAGCACTGTGGGGGATCCATTAATTCATGGATCCCCATCATCCTGACGACATGGTTGGTGTGACCTATACTCTAGCGCTCATTGTTATCACTTCAGAATGAGAGATCCTCCAACACCCCACAGATGACAAGAAGGGCATGAACTTTGGAGCACCCAAGTCATTTGATTTGCAATGGACTTAGGACAGACAAAGAAAGAACTTCTTCACATAACATAAGAACATAAGAGAAGCCAATGTTGCATCAGGCCAATGGCCCATCCAGTCCAACAGAGCTCCTATCTGTACCTTGCGGCTAATAGACACTGATGGACCTCTGCTCCATATGTTTATCCAATTCCCTCTTGAAGCCGTCCATGCTTGTAGCCGCCACCACCTCCTGTGGCAGTGAATTCCATGTGTTAAACACTCTTTGGGTGAAGAAGTACTTCCTTTTATTCGTTCTAACCTGACTGCTCAGCAATTTTATTGAGTGCCCACGAGTTCTTGTATTGTAAGAAAGGGAGAAAAGGACTTCTTTCTCTACCTGCTCTATTCCATGCATAATCTTACAAATCTTGATCATGTCACCCCTCAGCCGTCGTTTCCCCAAGCTAAAGAGCCCCAAGCGATCTTTCTTCACACTTAACCTTTCGCACTTAACTTGTGCAACTCGCTGCTGCTACAGAATGCAGCGAGGGCCAAGCTGAGATTTTATTTATTTGAAATATTTCTACACCCAACCTTCTCCTGAGCATCTCAGGTTCCAAGGCGGGATGGGCTTAAAAAGCTGATTCATGCAGGGAAAGGGCACCAACTGCTATTAGACACCAAGACAGAATGGAACCTCCACGTTTGGAAACCGTATACACGCACGCACACATAAGGGTCCCAAATCAAAAAGAATATATAATAAAATACCTGTGGGGGGACTTTTAATGATAAGGGCACAGACTAGCGGAAGAACAGATGATTTAGACTTGTTCTCTCTAACATGGGGGAAGGTAGTGCAATACTGGAACAGTCTGTTCAGATTCTCCAGCATTAGTTAATATATTGAAAATAGCTTTGTAGCTGTTCATACTTGCCTGAACCGATGCTTTCAAATAAATCAATTTCTTCTATAATGGTTGAGCCGATAAAGGTAACAGATGTTGGTTATAATCAAAACAACAACAACAATGGACCAGTGGACCAGCTGTTTTAAGGGGTCTCAAAGAATGGCTCCTAAGCTGTGGATGCTTAAAAGGATTAGGAATCCTTCAGGTCTGTCCGAGTTCTGAATGGGATGTGGAACCAGCATTTGGATGACCTCAGGGCAAAAGTGGGAGGGCAAGGAACTGTTCTTGTTGGCAGCAGAGGACAGGACTCACAAAATTATGGGCGGAAAAGTACTAGCTGGATATGGGGAACATTTTTTTTAACAGTAAGAGCAGTTCAGCGGTGGAATTAGCTGCCTAGGGAAGTGGTGAGCTTCCCCCTCCCTGGCAGTCTTCAAGCAGTAGCTGGCCGAACACTTGTCAGGAATGCTTTATGCTGATCCTGCATTTAGTTGGGGGTAGGACTCTATGGCCTCTAGGGACCCTTCCAGCTCTACGTGTTGGAATTGCAAGCTGCTTACACTTCAGCCATTACAGAGTTAAATGTTGTTTGTTAGCAAACAGGATGTTAACGTTACATAATGTATTCAACGGCAAAAAGTTGTGGGAGTTGTTTATCCTAATGAAGTGACCTGTAACCTTTGTGTTGGTCAACTAACATCTTGTTTGTAGAAATGCTTTGATCTAGCATTAATGTATTCACAAGTTTATGGCCCTTTGTGTGAACCAAAGAGGCCGTTCTCTTCTAGAAGCCTAGAGAGATAGAAAGATGTAGCTGTGTTAGCATATATTACTGAGAGTAACTGCAAGTATGTAACCTTGGCCCCGGTCACACGGAGCATTAGGCACACTAGAGGGACGGAAGATAGGCGGATTTTCCGGGGTCCTGTGGATTTTCCGGGCGTGATCACACTCCAACATCTGGGAAGCGCAGTGCTCCCGTGGCGAACCCGTGGCTCGCCGCCGAAGGTGCGGATTAAAAAACTAGTATTTATGAGGTACTAGTTTCCGGAAACTGCGGGCCAAGGGCGTGCGTCTGATCACGTTTCCGGTGACATCTGGCACCTGCCCATGTCCCGTCACGAAAAGGCTTCCCCCCCCCCAAGTCTCCACGGATGCGTACAAGCAGCCAATGGAGCATGCGAAGACTTGGGTTAAAAGAAAAGAAAAAACGCCGATCCGCTTCTTTGCCGCGCCGCAGGAGTGAGGTATGATCGGCACCTCCCCGGCACCTCCCCCCAACCACGGGAAGTTGGCGGGACGTTTGATCCCGCTGCCGCGCAGTAGTTCGCTCCGGGGCAAACAGCCACGCCTCCCCCCCCCCCGCGCGCGATATCCGGCCCGTGTGACTGGGGCCCTTTTATTTTATTTCTTTTATCCAAAGTACCATACCCATGTTTTATTTTATTTTTATAGTAAAGATATTTTTCTTTTTACTAAGTGTGGCTCTGTGTTTGCAATACAACCATCGACCTTGAATTAAGAATCCCAACACTATGATTTTGTGAGATGCCTGGAGTTCTGCACATCAGCTCTCAAGTGTCTTCTGCCCCTTAAAAAAAGGAGAGGCAGAGCGGTCCTATTCAGATAAGGACCTTGAGATGGGGCGCAGGGTGAAATTTCAACTCTCCCTCCCCTGGTGCTGTTTCCCCAACCTGGGTTGTTTCAGGATTAAAAAAAAAAAAATGTTGACGACGTGCTTGGGAATGAGTTCCTGGAACTCCCCGCATCCTGTATAGTTCAGCCCTCAGTGGTTTTTGGGCAACTGTGTTTATTCCTGCTCTTGTGATTTACATACTGTTGCTCTGATTACGTTGCTAAGCGCGATTGCAAAAAGTGATCCGTGAATATATTAAACGAACAAAGAAAGCGCTTGGAGCAGTCCCTAGGTGCTATCAAAAGGCTGTTTGTTAGATATCCCGCTTGACTGCCGTTCACTTACCTCTCCTGGATGGCCTTCCCTCTGTTTTTTACTATAGAGCTGGAGGTAGGAGTTCTTCTGTTGGCTCGCTAATCCCAGGGTGACTTTGTTCTTTCCTATAAAGTCTTTTTTGGATCTCTGTTGTTTGAAGCCTTTCGCTGGGGCGGAAGAGCCACTGCTGTAAATGCCGGAACTGCTGTTGTACAGACAGGCAGCTGCAGCCTCCCCATCTTGCTCCCGACGTTTAGGCGAGGGACAAGACCTGTCGCTAACACTTGCAGGTGGTGCAGAGGAGCTCAGCGACTCCCTGTCGGATACAGATGGGCTATCTTGCCAACCTTCCGTGAGATGATGATCCATAGCCGTGAGCATGTCTTGGGAAGGACTGCCAGTTGGACTGAGGGAGGGGGACGAGGAGCCTTGGGCGTCCTCTGGGTATGAGTTCTTAAATTTCACGAGGACGCCTTCTCCCTCATTCTTCCAGTTGGGGTTGTAGCGCAGTTCGGAGTACCTGTCTGTGATTTCCTCTTTGCTAACAAACAAGAGCAAACAAAAAAAAGGAGCCGTTTGAACAAGAGAAATATCACTTAACGTTTTTGTTGGGGGGAATGAGGGGTTGCAGGAATAGAGATGTAAAATTTCCAGAAATTCTGAAGCTCGGGAAAAACACACGTTATTTTCCGGGGGGAAACCGAAATTTTCAGAAAAAAATGGAAAAAAATGCTACATTAGCACTTCTTTTTTCTTTTCCAGATTGATCCGTTACTTTAGGAACATAAAAGCACTACACTCCGGAAGTAAGAACCTCCTGGTGATCCCCTGCCGAGAGAGACATTTCGTCTGGCACTCTCACACCCACCGTCCTCCACAACCCCCTTAGGAGGCCTGTAGAAGCTGAAATTTTTCCACCTTCTTGGACTGGATTGTTTTATTTGTTGAGACATGCATTGTATTTTTGGTTTAACTTTTATTTATTGTATTGACCTTTGTTGTAAGCCGCCCTGAGCCCTGCTTGCAGGGAAGGGCGGCCTAAAAGTCTAAATAAATAAATAAATATACAACAAAGTCAGCCCTCTCTCTCTCTCTCTCTCTCTCTCTCTCTCTCTGGGGTCAGGAAAGTCAAGGAAAGCTGGGTGGAGCTAGGTGGACTCAGAGAGTCAAGGAAGCTAGCCTCAGATACTCCGTCTACTTAGAATTTGATAACGTATAAACATTCCCAAAGGCAAAAGTCACGTAAGGCAGAAGTCATGTACAGGGCTGTTGGTACCCGAAGGCCACAGCACTTAGCAGAGTCCTGAAGCCTTCTAGGAAACAGAACCACAGATTCAACTATAGAGGCTGCTATAGAAACTAAAGTCTCATAGGTATGCCAGAGGTTTAGCAGAGGTAAAAGGTAAAGGTAAAGGTCTCCCTTGCTCGAAAGCCAGTCGAATCCGACTCTAGGGTTGCGGTGCTCATCTCCGTTTCAAAGCCGAAGAGCCAGCGCTGTCCAAAGACGTTTCCGTGGTCATGTGGCCGGCATGACTAAACACTAAGGCGCACGGAACGCTGTTACCTTCCCACCGAAGTGGTACCTATTTATCTACTTGCAATTTCTTGCTTTCGAACTGCTAGGTTGGCAGGAATTAGCAGAGGACTGAGGCTTAATCCAGCCCTAATTCCATGACAGTTTTAAAAGGCACCCGTTTTAAAATTCCAGGCACAGGTCCACTCTGGAGTTTGAGGTCTTCCAGACAATAAGTCCATCCAGCCCTAATTCCATGACAGTTTTAATAGGCACCCATTTTAAAATTCCAGGCACAGGTCCACTGGAGTTTGAGGTCCTCCAGACAATAATCCTTAGGGAACACGTAGCCAGCAGATGCTCCCCAAGTAGGCTGGGGACTTTTGACATGGGCTCTACTGCGAAGTATCTGTCAAGTTCAACAGCCCCACATCATCGCAGAGCATGCGTGCTTGCACGCTTTAATGTTCTGCCATCAGAGGTGCTTTTAGGGAAGTACCACCAGATACCATATGTAGACAGACTTTGCCCTTGCTCTCTAAAAGGTATAGCATCCACTACACACGCCATACTTCATTGCCCCCTCTTTAGGGCTATCCGATCTCGTTTTATTACTCCACTTCTAGAGGGTAAGAGCTGGCACTCTGAGGACTCAAGTGTTCACTTTCTTCTGTTTAATTCTAATTGCGAAATAATGGAGGCTGTTGCCAAACTTTTATATTATGCAATCAGACGACGAGGCTTGAATAGCCAAGAGTAAGTGACTGATGCATCTTAGTATTTTCCCGTATTTCCATGATGTTTTGTGCTTTCATGCCAATAAAGGTTTTGTGTGTGTGACAAGAAGTCCTCTAGCGCTTGGGTTCTCAACCTTTCATCTCCTGCTATATCCCACCAATCACTCCATCAAGGATCCTACCGCAACAGAAACAAAAACCTCACTTTCCCTCCGACAAGGACATGTATATATTTACAGGCATTCAGTTATACGTATCATTCACAGTAAGTCTTAAGGACATAAACATTGCAGTAGGATCGCTAGGAGTAAATTTTATTTTTATAGCTTCGATGGACAACCCTTGGGCAGGTAGGGCCGGCGGGAAGCAGCCCATCAAAGACACTTGCTGACAGGCAGGGGGAACATAAGAACATAAGAGACGCCAATGTTGGATCAGGCCAAAGGCCCATCCAGTCCAACACTCTGTGTCACACAGTGGCCAAAAATACCAGGTGGTCCACCAGTGGGGCCAGGACACTATAAGCCCTCCCACAGTTGACCCCACCCCCAAGCACCAAGATGACAGAGCATCACTTGCCCCAGAGCCCCTATCTATACCTTGTGGCTAATAGCCACTGATGGACCTCTGCTCCATATGCCTATCGAATTCCCTCTTGAAGCCGTCCATGCTTGTAGCCGCCACCACCTCCTGTGGCAGTAAATTCCATGTGTTCTTCACTCTTTGGGTGAAGAAGGACTTCCTTTTATCTGTTCTAACCCGACCACCCAGAAATTTCATGGAGTGCCCACGAGTTCTTGTATCGTGAGAAAGGGAGAA